TCAAGCTCGACCTCAACAATGGCCAAAATGAAATGTGAAATACGCAAGCATTCATTTAATTTGCATTACAATTTATCGCCGACGCCTGAAGTGCCGTTTGCTAATAAATCACCAAATTAATATTATGCTGCGGGAATGTGAAGAGTCCCATAAGAGGACTGTGTGATATTGTGAAGGAGTGCGAGCAAGAGGGAGAGCCTGTCCGCACCTATCGGGCCGACCGACTTTATTTATAATATTATTAACATTTTTAAATTAAAATGTTCTAGTTGCGAATTGAGATCTAATTGCACTAATAACGAACGACTATCATTAAAAAAAGAAATGCTACATATAAAGTATTTGTTTTGCATTCATATTTCAACTTGAAATCCACACAATGTCCGTTGTGTTTCGGATAACGTTCAAATTATATGTACGTATTAATAATACAGACGTAGGACAGATACGGGAAATTTCGCAATAAAATACCCAATCAAAGCCTTCTATTATGCCAAAAATAAAGGTATGGGTGTTAGATAATTCCCATGCTTATAGGGATATTTAAAGCATTTCCCTTCTGAGGGAAAATGTAATGCTAACATTTTTGCTGAATAAAATGTGTTTTAAATAGATGGCGCCAGCATACGGTAAATTCACAAGAGATGGCGGCACACCTGATGATGAAATGTCCCTGATGTATTTTTCGATAGCGCCACACAGTGTAAGAAAGAGTCACACGTATTTAAAATTTGCGAAAGGAATTTCGAATTATTCAGCTACCACTATTATCAGCCCTTACATGCTTTTTGAACCAGCACATGTCAACAGCGCTAAATGAACTAATAGTCACATCTCTAGCATTTGGTATATCAGCTGTTCATCGGCTTAACCTAAAAATACTTTTGTTTTTACTTGTGGCGCTTTTTTTGCAGCTACGTCTCGTATTTCCATAATGACCAACAACGAATCAGAGTCCGCTAGCACGAGTCGAGCAAGCGGCAGTGCTTCAACATCTGCCAACAAAGTGGAAATTACAGAGAAAGTGCGAGTTCTTTGCCTGCACGGATACCGACAAGATGGTCGGTGCCTTGAATATAATTTTTAATTAAAGCTAATTTGATTTTCCAATTAAAGCGGACTCATTTAAAAATAAACTTGGCTCCTTTCGCAAATTCGCTGGTAAATACGCTGAGTTTGTGTTTATCTCTGCCCCTCACGTAGCAGCGCCCCTGGACCCATCGGCAGAGCCTGTGGAGCAGCAGCGCAGTTGGTGGGCCAACAAAGATGATGGCACATTCAAAGGTACCAACAGAAGTGGTCCGGCATTAGGATTCCAAGAGAGCTTACGCTACGTCGAAGATGTATGGAAGACACAGGGACCCTTTCAAGGACTTTTAGGTTTCTCGCAAGGTGCCTGCTTTGTGGGACTCATATGTGGACTAGCCAAAAAGAAATGTAAGTACATCGATATCACATTGCAGGACTAATTACACATTTTATACACTTCCCCAAAAGTGACCTCCATTCGACCTGAGTTCGCTGTCCTCAGCTCTGGCTTCATTTCTGGTAGCCTGGTGCATATGAGCGCCTATGAAGAGCGCATCACAATCCCTACATTGCACATTTATGGCTTGACAGACGAAATCATTCCCAAAGAGATGAGCGAATCACTAGCAGCTCACTTCAGGAATGTGGAAGTGCTTGAGCATAGCGGCGGCCATTATTTCCCAGCAACGGCACAGCAGAAACAGACGTACATCAACTTCTTCCAGGACAGGTTGCAAGAGTACTTGGAGCACTTGGAACTGCAGCAGAGCAGCAACGCCTCGTTTATCGATAGCGCCGAGGAGGACGATGGAGCGGCGACGGATGCCAACGATGCAGAAGTGGCCGCTGTGACGGCGGCCGCCGGWTCGGGAATGGATGATAGTGATTAGTAATGTAGATTTTTTCTTTTTAATAATAATTAAATCTTATTATTACAATAATAATAATAATCATAATTTGATTATAAATTATAATAAATTTAAATCCCAATATTTTAAATATTCACCATTTGCTCAATTATCAATTGTTATAAGCTATTTCAATTGTGACTTTCATTTCATAAGTTTTCATTTAAATTTTGTGTAGTATCTATTTTTTCCTCTTAGACAAATTCGTACAAATTCCATAAGAAACAAACAAATAGGTAATATATAAAAAAAATAATAATAATAAGATTAACAAATCCCATTTCAAATTATAATTTTGAATCATATTGTTTAAATTGTTCCTTGCTATATAACCGACGAAAAAATGCATACATAATTAGCTATTGTTGCTGTTTTCTTATTTTTGTTGCTGTTGCTTTAGTTGTGTAGTTGTTGTTGTGTGACCAGGCAGAGAAGAAACTGTAGCACAATTCGAAACATTTAGCATTGCATCGAGAGAGTTTTTTGTTGACTGTGTAGTGTGGGACAAGCGAGTGATAGTAAATTTGACTCTCAGCATTTATAGTTTTGCTTTGCATGCGACAGCAGCAGTAGCAGCAGCAGCGGCGATGTCCAAGTGGGTAACTGCTCTTTCTGATGGTTTTATTTTGGGGCTTTAAGTGTTGTTGCTGTTGTTGTTGTTGTTCTTGATGTTGCTGTTACTGTTGCTGTTGATTTTATGCCACTTGCTCCTGTCCATTTGAGGCCTCTTGATTTTTCATCACTTCTGGTAAGTCGGGCGGGGCTGAATAGGGCGTGATTTCCAGCGATTCGAAGTCGCCCGCCTCGTTCCTGCAAGCAAAATACATTAGTAAAATGTCAACTCAATAACAAATGCGACACACGTGTGGAACTATGCGAGTCGGCCGATAACATATGTACAATGTTCTAGAGTTGAGTCCAGGTCGTGCTTTATTGTAGAGCACGAAAACTCTTGACCCTTTAACCCGAATGACCAATTTGCAATCAAACGCAGGAATAAATAATTGCTTAAGAGCTACAGCAACAACAAAATTCGTAACAAAAAAATTTTTTTGTTTTGTTTTGAAAATAAAGAAAAAAAAATCGCGAGTCAGTATCATTAAAACATCGTTTAATATTAGATTTTAAGCAAACAAGAAAAATGTTTTTGTTATGAAAAAATAATTTACACGCGCTCATCTCTAACATGTACAAATAATAATAAAATATTAGCGGCTTATCAGCGTGACTCAAAGGGCGGCTTTCATAACACGAACTGTGAATGAGCGAAAGGGAAGCAAGCATAACTCACCTGCATGTTAGGCCCAACTGCGCTGGGGCTTGGGCCTTTGCCGTTGATACCGTAACGCCATAGTCCTGCAACGTTTGATCATCCTCCATGACATCGTTGTCCTGATTGTATAACCGCTGATCGCTGGGTAACACTTTCAAAATGCCTGCCGATGATTATAAAATTACTTAATAATCAAAAATGTGCTCTATAAATAGGAATAACACTTAAACACACGACACACGCACACGCATACACAAACACCCGCAAACATGCACACATACACAAACACACACACAGAAGCGCGAATACGCTACGCATAAATATTTAGATATATTGCTATACTTGCCTTCGATCATGCGTTTCAGTTCAATAACTGATGTGTTTTCCTTAGCATCCGTAAAGATGGTTGTCTTATGCCTTCTGATCATGAGGAACACGTCCTATAAGAAAGAAATCAGAATGTTACGGTCAAAGTTCATAGCAACACCAGAAGCAGCGGCGCTGACTACGGTGATGGCGATGTTGCGCGGCTTTTGCTTATTCATCGTACACATGTCCCTTGCCAGTGTGGGTGCGTGTGCGTGTGCTTATATGCATATGTAAGTGCATTAGTGCATTGCATTCAGCGTCAACATATCCTTCAGATCGACATCGATGGCCGGCGAGGCGTGCTTACCATAATTGAAAATTTGTTGTTTGATGCCTTTTGCCGACTACTGCTAAGTGACCTGAAGGTTGTGCTACAATTTGTTATTGTCGTTGCCTACTACGGCTGCTTCTGATGCTGGCGTGGGCGGGCGGAGGGCGCTTCCTTTGGCGGTCGTCGAGTCGTTCGATCGTTTCTGCTTACACCATCAGCCAGTGCACGCTGGTTGTGCTAGCTTCGGTGCGTTAGTAGTGCGACTGTGGTGATGGCGACGTGTGGAAGTGTTTGGGCGTTCAACAGCCTAGTCGATTGCCTGCACTTGTAAGTTTTCGTTGGATTTTACGATTTTTAATGTAAATTTTTTTTTTTTTTTTTTGGCGAAGCAAGACCGAATGCCAGCCCTGCCAACTTAACATATGTAAGTTGGCAGCTCTTGATTTTTTGGTGCGTCAGAAATTATGTTACTTAGCAGTCTGTTAATACTCTGTGATTTTACACCATACAATAATGTACTAATTAATCCCTAGCGCACAAGTGTCACTTTACGCCTGGTCTAAGATCTGCCACGAAATGGTTTTGCTTGACAATGCTAATGTAAATAAATACATTAATCGTGGAATCCCAAAATAATATATCATCTAATTACAGTTTATACTGCGCCTGGAAAAAATTGCCAATGAAGCGAGAAAGGATGCTTCCTTCACGATGACATTCAAACGCTGTAAGTAACCAGGCTGTCCGCATGCGACTTCTCTAATCAATATGCGCTCCCATTTCCAATATTAGACGATGGGCATGATAGACCTGTACCTCGTGAAGGAAGGAAACCACTGCCGAAACCCGAAACGTATATGTGCTTAATGCGTGCCCAATTCAAATCCAAAAAGGTAAATACAATTTTATATTTCAATATATTTATATATCAGAATAAAAGATTTCTTTTTAGATTTCCACAGTAGTTCGCCAGGAAGATGTTCCCACAATGATGGCGATGTACTCACAATTTATGAAAAGTAAAATGGATGGACTTAAGCGCGTTAAGAAAGTGAAAGCCAAGGCTAAGGCAGCTAAGGCATAATACACGCTCGGTAGCTGCGTTATAATTAGTTAAAGCTCTTAGATATTTACCAATAACCAACGTTCCCTTGTAAATTAAAATTTTTACGGCACTTCTGTATTTATGTTATTGACATCAATCATATCCTTTTGGACGCACAAGTCGAGCAAATATTTTGGTAATTTGTCTAGTCTTAATCCATACAAGTATTTTGGCCTTAATAACTTTACTAGCGTATAGATATACTCTCTTTGAGCTTGTGCTTCATTCTCCTCGGACGCATAACACGAGTCATCAAAATACAGGACATCTATTCCAATGCCAAGTGCACGGTGAAAAGATGCACCAGCTTTTGGTATAAAGTCCAAATAGCCGCTCAAATTGTCAGCTATTAGTGATCTAATGTAGTCATCTAAAAAAATGCCTGCTATTATATCATCTAAAAATCCGAGTCACTTACTTTTTAAGTAATAAAAGGTAGCACTTCCACTATCTTCGTTTTGTCCTGCTGGTATCAAAGTCAAACTGATTTTGGATTCATCATATTTGATATTCGTTTCTTCGTTGGGCCTTAAAACTGTATATACAGGATTTTGACAGGTTTTGGATAACACACCTTGGAAACGAGCTACATCATCTGCTGAGCCAATAATGCGTCCACACCAATTTGAAGGAACTATGTGATCCTGGAACGCCGCCGACGTTAACAGCATTGGTCCATTATGCTAGTTTGTTATAAATGTATTTTTTTTTAAATATAAAAATAGGTTCAAGGATTTTTCTTACTTGTTCATAAGGGCCATATGTCTTTTTAGAATCCAATATTAATGGTTGTCCAAGATCATTTAAAAACATCTTTAAGCGTAGAAAAGAACACAAACAAATTCCGGAACTAGTTTCAGCATTACATGCCAAATTTCTCTTAGGAAGTGTTCTGTTAATATAACATTTTCTGTTAATTTATATGCCTCAATTATTTTTAGAGCATATTGCGTTAGCCTACGCATTTTTGCGCAATTTCAATTTAGAATTGATGTAGGCTAGAATTTGTTTAATCTATTTAAAATTTTAATACCCATTTAAGAACAATAATTTAGATATAATTATATTTGTATATGTACACATATGTATTTAATTGTAAGTCATCCTATTTAGACTCTTATTTTTGATCGGCACTAACCGTGTACTTTTAGCAGCGTTACACATTGACCAGTTTTTCTTCTTTTTTGTTTGWTTGTTTTTAACATACAAATATACTGTTAGTTCTATCACAATGAATAATATATTTTGTGTGTTCTGTTTTGTGTATGTATGTATGTGCTGTGCCTTTGTCATCCAGATTCGAGAGATAGGTATCCTTACGTTCTTATGTTAACAAACATGATATTATATGCTAGCAATACAAAACAGATCTGCAGCATAAGTTAGTTACCTTCTGCCTCCCTTTGTTATTATTATTTTTTTTTTTTTAGAACAAAGACAGTCTTAATATTTTATGAGAGTTTCAATTGCGTTCATAAAGTTGCTCCATTTGCTATCGAATATTGCAAGTCATTTGGCAATTAATGAGCTAGTGTGCGTTAATGGCGACGAATAGGATCAGGATTTGTGGACAGACTGTTTTAGGAGGACGCGCAAATGACTACAAAAATATGAAACGCACCCATTGCAAAGAAATCCAAATTATAAACTATGTTGAATATTTAAATTAAATTGATTAAATAATAACAATAAAGCAATTACGTTTGCCTTTAGTTAAAAGTATTATAGCGCAAATTGCTGTCAACGTCGCCAACATTTCCGCCAAAGCTACCGGGGTTAGACGGTTGTTCGGCCATGAGATCCGTGCTTGACTGCGAATACCTACGCCACCGGGGCCATGGCCACGCATCGCGTATGCTGTCGATCAAACGCTGCTGGAATGTCTTGTATTCCATATCCACTGACTGGGTATCACCAAAATTGAAATCAGCCACTTCCACCGTAAAGCTGAGACCACAGAAAGGAAAAGTTATTTGTTGGGCTTGTTTTTAGGATTTATACTACTTACCGATTTCGACTTTGCATATAATAGGCGACACCAAAAATGACCAAACAAACGGCCACAAGGGTGCAGGCAATGGGCACCACGACAACGGATAGCTGCGACTGTCGCTTTGCTGTTGGATAAGTAAAAACACATTAATCAAATCGATCAAATTATAAGTAGCTTCGGGGTTATTTTACCAACCTTCATAGATGTTAACGGTAACTTGATTTAGAGTTGCCGAGACCTCATTGCGGATGAAAAACAGAATCGTCTTGCTGTCAGCAAAATAACGAGCGAAGTTAAAATCACACTTATCGAAACTGTCATAGCTGCTGCACGTCTCGTTGCCCGTAGCATTGTATGGCGCTAAAAACAAAAGTGCCTCAGTTAATAATCATTTTCAAAAATACATTTAATATCAGTCAAATAATTTAAGACCAAGAAAACTCAATGCTAAAGATGATATATAACATCTTTTAATATATTCTATGCTATACTAAAGATGACACCCAATCTAGGCAAGTTCCCATCAAATTATACATTGTAGTTCTTAATAAATAATTCTAGTACATTATGCAATATTAATACGTACCATTGTAGTATTGAGTGCACACCTCGTACGGCGGGGAGCCTTTGCAGGTGATTTGTAAATTAATCAGCTCCCAATGCTGCACCCAGTTTTTACCGCTAGTGCTAAAACCAGAGATGGGCGCTGCAACAAATATTATTAAATACATTTTACATGCAATAGCTGAAGCTTATACATACTCTTCGAGACAACTCGCCGGTTAAAGTAACCGTACATCTTGCTCGCATCCTGGGCAACAACTTTGCCGTCTATGCAAGTGTGCGGCGGAGCTGCAACAGGCAGCAGTTTCAGCTTCCGCACACCCAACGGATTGAACAGGGCAACAGATGTAGCTCCGGTGATGTTTTGCTTTTGTAGCTCCTGCTTAACAGCGGCTGCAAGATTTAGACCAAGCAGCTTGGCGTTTGCATGCATCGTTTGGTTAACGTCCCGCTTAGACCGCGAAGGCTTAGTTGTCGTTTCTGGTGTCGTTGATGTTGTTGTCGATGTTGTTGCTGGGGTTGTTGTTGATGTCGTGCTTGGTGTTGTTGATGTTGTGGCTGGTGTTGTAGAAGTGGACGTGGATGTTGTCGTTGTAGTTGTAGTTGCGGGCGTGGTGGTTGTCGTTGTAGTAGTAGTCGTTGTGGTTGTAGTGGTTGTTGTTGTAGATGTTGTTGGCTCTGGCAGAGGATCTGGCGATGCTACCACAAGAGCCTCAATATTATAATATTGATCGGGCACTGAATATATATCTTCAAACTCGAAGACATGTGACATTCCTAGATATGTACAGTTCTTGAACCAGTAAGTATTGATATAGTAATGATTGCTTATCAAAAAGTCCAAGTCCGCTTGCCATAGTTCAATTCTATGTTTAACTAAATCCTGCGTGGATACAAAGTCCTTTATCCGCACCTTATCATTCTGTATAAGTTCCAAACTGCCGCTGAGTGTGTTGACTACACTGATAGTAACTGTGCTTTCGGCAACTGGAAACCAAACTATAAACTTCTCCTCTGATACACTCACTTCTAAACGATGATCTCCCAGATTGCTTATATCGTTAGCATAATTGAAAGTCCAATTGCTGAATGGCTCCGATGTTTCAAATTCCTACATATCAACAAATTCAAATGAAATACGTATTTAATTAGTTAATTGTTAACTAAAATAAAGGGGCGCATCAGCGCCTATTACATTTGCTTTTAATAACAGAGCTGTGACGCAGATTAATCCCGAAAGCCCAGCTGTATGGCTATAGGGGATAACTCAAGTATAAACAGAAATAAATCATTTATCTTTTGTGTGTATTTCTGATTGTGTTAATGCCATACGACAACGATGAACAATGAATGTGTTTTATTTTTTTTTTCTGTATGGAACATTGATAATAATACAAAATATATACAAAAATATTGTTATCTATGAAACTGAATTGTTTAATGAAATATTATCGAATCTATATGTTTAAGCAGTCATGTCAGATCCTACACTTATGTAGGGTATCTAAACGTACCAGGCACGGTTGCCTACAAATCAAGTGATTGTAAAAATGTACACTTTAAATTTGATATCGAGTACATATATACATATTCTATTGAAGCAGTATCTAAAATTAACTTTATTATTATCACCGACCGAGTCTTATACAACGTTTTGAAATGCGTTTTAAATACAAACAATATTTGTAAAAGCCACACAAATTAGCAAAAAGTTGATACGGTGCACATTCACTAATTCCAACTCATGCATTCTTCCCTAACTAATGAATTTGGGACAGACGTAGGGCATGTGCGGTTCATTGCGAAGCAGACCTTACAGTTCCCGTTATGGGTGCATGAAATTAGTCAGCAAATTTCTTTTGAACTCCCGTATGTACATATGCCTCGTCAGCCACCATTCTTGAAGTGGCAAACATCGCTTTCTATTTGTAAAACATGTTTACCTTCGTATGCCCAGCGTTATCCTTCCAGCTGAAGCTATAGGTACCTTTGTTGGCAATATTCCTTCCATCGTATAGAGTAGCGCTTACATTTACCGTGGAGCCGATCAGCGCATGTTGTGGCGCGGTAATAACAACATGTTTACAATAAACTTGAAACAATGAGAATTGTAAAGAATATTTAAAGTTGCACGAGCTCGTATTGATTAGTATTTGGACTCGTTCTTACCTGTATGCAATGAGGCATATAGCACTAGAGTGAACGCTAGCGCCGTATTGCTAATTTTATGCATTTTTGCAACGCAACAACTAAACGTCTGGTATTTCCGACTGCGGTTATTATGAAAAATAGTTTACAATGCACCTGCACTCCCGCCCCAATGAACAAACAAAAAACACTACACACATATACACTCACACACTTCTGAATTGTTTTACGTCTACTCTTCAGTAACTTTTTTATTGTATACAATACGTTGAACACTTTTAATTGCTTTGTAGTTAGAACTATAACTAAATCATCGGCACATCAATTATTCGCAATAATTATTGCGTTTTCGTTTAATTTATAGAACTGCAAGTTAGTGCTGCCCAATCGTTCGGTACAAGCCTGAACGATACACCGAACTAAATGAACAAACGGAACTACTCAGCTAGTTCGCAAGTCGTTCGATACATTAGTTCGTTCATTTGAGTTGAATTTATGGTAAGCAGCCCAGAAAAAAACGGTATTCGTTTACATAGTTTAAAATACTAATATCGTTTATTCGTTAGTTGTAAATAATCATACTTATATGTATGTATGCATATATATGTATGTATGTTGGTGCGTGTATATATTAATATTTGAAGAAAACTTAATAGCATAAATGAAATACAACGAGATGAAAAAGCAATAATTACTTTGGGATACGCAAAACACAAAATACTCGAAGACATTTGCTTATAGCTAATGCTAATGCTGTCCATTTACTTCTTCTTGCTCTTGCCCAGCGTCAGTGTGTGATGTGCTGTGGCCAATTGCTGCTTGCGTCTCTGAAAGTCCAAATAGTCCTCCTCGAGAGCTTTACGAGACTCTTCAAGTTTTCGTTTCTCTTCCGCATGATCCCTCTTCAATTTTTCAAACTTCAAATGCAAGTCCTTCTCACTGTCTTTCAGCTCGGCCTCCTTCTCCTTGACACGCTGCACAAACATCTGGCGCACCTCCTCCTCCTTGGACTGCAGTTCAGCCAGATGATTGGAGCGCTTTGCTTCGAAAGTTTGCTGAAAGGAAACAGGCTTGTTTTCGCTATCGACATCACTAAAGCCCATCTGCTCCAAACGCTTTTGCCGGTACAGCTCATAGTGTCGAGTGTGGGTCTTTTCGCGCATATCTTCCATGTTTGTGCGGATAAGCATCTCTCGCAACTTGACAAAATCGCAATGTGTCTCGTTTTCCACCTGCACTGTGCCCCAGGGATATTGACGAGCACGGATTAGCTTGTTTCCCACCTTTATGAACTCGGTGCTGCCAACGACGGCGAACGGAATGTGCGAATTCATGACGCTATTTGTTTCCGCCACAGTCTCATCGTCAGTGGGAAACTGATAGATATGGACGCCATTGCTGTTGAGTTCCTGTATTATTTTTGCCTTGAAGCGCTGCAGCTCGACCTTGGAGATGGTGTCCGCTTTGGCAATCACCGGTATTATGTTCACCTTGCTGTCTAGCTTCTTCATGCAGACCAGATCCAAGGACTTCAGTCCGTGTCCCGTCGGACATATGAAGTACAGACAAATATGTATGCGACTGTCATGGCACGTCACAAGGGAGCGCTTAATTTTCAGTTCCTCCTGCAAATAATTCTCAAACTGAGCATCAATGTAGTCGACGACAGCCTTAAATGAATCGTCCTTATTGATTTGGTCGCCATATCCAACCGTATCGCAAATCGTCAACTTTAGCCGCACATTGCTCTCCTGCAGCTCATAAGTGTGGGCCTTCAATTTAACGCTAGGCAGCGTATGGGGACTCGGTGTCGATTCGAAACTAGTGTTGAACAGTGTGTCCATCAATGTTGATTTACCCAGACCCGTCTCGCCTAATGGGAAAAGAGACACATGTTACTCATATTGTTCAAAATGTTATTATAAGTGGCTTCAATTGGGCACTAGACACATATTTGTGTCAAACGGTGCTACCATTCTAGCTATTTTATAGCTATGTCTGGCTTTTTTTTAGTGTTATGTGTGTAAGATGTTATGAAAAAGTATTTGGCTATAAATCTATGAGTCAAAGTTGCATATCTCGGCTACACCAAATACATTTTTACAAATTTTCCTAATTCTATTATAATTGTTCTCTTTTATTCTATGATAATTAATAACAGAATAAAAAAATATATTTATGAATTTTATAATGACTGAATCAAATTAAATTATAAAATGAAATCTATAGTAATTTTCATAAAATAAATACACAAAAATAGTTTAGATACATACATATTTAAATCATTAAGTCATTCTAGCATTTTCTTTCATTTTTTGTCAATCTAGCATTTTACGCCCTTCAAATTCTCTCAACACTGATATCAGGGTGAAATTGTAGAAAGCAAATTGAAAATCGATTGCTAAACACTTTGCATATCAATCGGCTGCGGCCTGCTCGCGCCGATTTCAATTGTTTACATACATACCCGCGTACGTTCATGCATACTGTTGAGAAATTATGTGTATATGTATGTTAGTGAGTCATGTATTGCTTGTGTGGCTTAGAATCTGTGTGCAATGCACTCAATACAATTCCACACATTTCTCTTCGTTGATTCACTGCACATACATATATACGCACTTGGGCAATGCCGCATATACACACATACACCCACATCTGTATATACACACCTATACACATGACGTTGAAAACGAATCCATTTTGTACGCTTTTATTAACCAGTTGATCGGGCAAACTGTCAAATCCTACGTGTCCAGACTGCTTCAGAGTGCGAAGATGCACTTCTTTTTTATTTACAAAATCAACTTCAGCCGACATTTTGCAACAATTTACACAAAAAACACGCACACTATAGACCTCGCAAAGGCGTCGCGAGTACGTTTTGTTGATAATTAATTAATCGTTATCGATATACAGTTGGCAGGGACCGTTCATCGTTTATATTTTTAGATAAGTCTGGTAACTCAACACTTTTGACAGTCTTGCAGTGGCAGCACTCAAAATTATTGTTGCTGATGTGTCCAACCTGTCAAAGTTTCTAGCAGAGCGAAAGTTCAGTGCCAAATAGGTTTATTTTAGTGGATTGTTATTATAATGTCGAAAGACATAACTGCCAAGGAGGCGCTTATAAAAGCGGCCTACGCCGACGTTCACAAGTTTGGCAACAATCAGGAGTTTGATAAGGCGGTTAAAGCTGTTAATCGCAGTGAGTATCAAGACATGTGCCAAAGTTTAATCTAATTTTAATCATTCAATTACAATTCTATCTCAGTACTGGGTGTAGCACCTGATGATCAAACTGCACTGCACTGTAAAGTTGTATGCCTGATGCAGTTGTCCAAGTTCGATGAGGCCCATAAGTTCATTGAGAAAAATCGTTTGGCCTCTGTGTTGATTTTTGAGAAGGCGTACTGTGAGTATCGCCTAAATAAGCAGCTACAGGCACTGAAAACCATTGACGATGCTGCAGTGCAGCCTCTGCCAGCGAAGTTGAAAGAATTGCGCACACAAATACTGTATCGTTTGGAACGCTATGAAGATTGCCTGGATGCGTACAAGGAGATCATTAAGAACAGTAGTGATGATTACGAGGATGAACGACGCACTAATCTCAGTGCAGTGGCTGCCAATTTGGCATTGGACAAGGACAAGGACGTTCCAGAAGTACCCGAGGACACCTATGAGCAGTACTTCAATAGCGCTTGCATTCAGGCCAATCGCCAGAGATTCGTTGAAGCCGAGCGCAAATTGCGAACCAGCGAAAAATTGTGTCGGGAGTTTCTGGAAGAGGAGGGTGCTAGTGAGGAGGAGATACTCGAAGAACTGGACGTTATACGTGTTCAGCTCGCCTACTGTCTGCAACAGCAGGGCAAAATTAAGGAAGCCAGCGTTATTTATGCAGAATGCTTACGCCACAAACCGAAGGATGCGGCTTTGGTAGCAGTTGCCAGCAACAATACGGTGGTTATCAACAAGGATCAAAATGTCTTTGACTCAAAAAAGAAAATACGCGCTGCCATGGCTGATGCCTGTGAACCAAAGTTGACCTCACGGCAAAAGCAAACAATAGCTCTGAACAATTGCCTCTTGGCTCTGTATACCAATTCCAGCGATCAAGTGCAACAGTTGACACAGAAATTGACCCAGAGCTATCCGCAAGTGGAGTTCGAGGCTCTGCTCATACGCTGCAGTCAACTGGCCAAGGATAAGAAGCACAAGGAGGCCATCGAGCAGTTGAACAAGTTTGCCAGTGCACACAAGTCGCATGAATTTATCAGCAAATTTGCCATCATACAGTTGCAATTGCTTCAAGTAAGAGACGCGTTTGACACATTCGCAAATTGCATTCTCTTAAAACTGCTTATTTATTATTTATTATTATATTTATTTTAATTTGAAGGGTAATCGTAAGGACGCTATCGAAACTCTACTCTCGTTGGGTGAAGCCAAGTACAAGCCTGGCATTGTCTCGGCGCTGGTGTCTCTTTATTTGGGCACCGACAATAAGCCAGCCGCCTCGGCGCTGCTTAAATCAGCCGTCGAATGGTATAAGCAAAATAATGTGAGCAGCGGCGATTTGTCGGACATGTGGCGGCAGGCGGCAGAGTTCCATTTACGTGGTGGCGCCTCTGAGACGGCGGCCAGTTCATTGGAGGAGCTGCTCAAGCTAAAGCCGAATGATATGAAAGTGCTGGCTCAGCTAGTTATTGCATATGCTCAATTTAACCCTAAGCGTGCGCTCGAGATAAGCCGCAAGTTGCCTAAACTGGAGACATTGACTACGGCTTCCGAAATTGATGCACTCGAGGCGGCCAACTGGGTGATGTCTGCAAAGGCAGCTAAAAAGACGGCCAATGCAAAAGTTGAGCCTTCGCCCAGCACACCCGCAACAGATAAGAAGAAGAGTGGCAATCGCAAGCGCAAAGGTAAACTGCCTAAGAATTACAATGCCGAGGTCGCGCCCGATCCTGAGCGCTGGTTGCCCAAGTATGAGCGCACTGGATTCCGTAAGAAGCGTGGCGGTGCCCGTGCCAAGGATATTATCAAAGGTTCACAGGGCATGGCGTCTGGTGCAGCTGATCAATAGTAAGTTAAATATTTAGCTTGCTCATAGAATTCGTATAAACACCTTTTTCGTTTTTCAGCGACATGTCCAATCGCGCCAATCTAAACAAGAACTCGCCTGCAACGCCCGTTTACCAGGAGCCCACGCCCGGCCCAAGGCAGCAACACCGCAAAGGTGGCCACAAGAAGAAGAAGGGWGGACGGTTCTAAGTCGTAACCAACAGCATGCTTTTAATTTGTATCAATTACATATACACTATCAACGGTCTTGCATTGTCAACTTATAAATAAATAGATTGGCTATTCTTCCCCATCATCGTCCTCGTTATTAATTTTCGCTGGTTCCTCCCGCCTCGTATCATAGGAGTGGAAGTGCAAGGTGCTTAGCCAATCGAGCATGTTGCGCTGCTCTGCCTCCGTTTTGTATATATTCGAGTAGATATACTTTTCTATAAACTGCGTGACTTGCTCCTCTTGCTCCGCCCAAGTCAAGGGCTTATGGATGCCATCATTGCCATAGCGATCATTGTAGCGTTCATAGTGAACGGTGTCCAATACGAGGCCCAAGCCTGGCGCCATGGGCAAGTCCAGGCGCTCCTCGGTTAACGCACGCTCCAGAGTAGCAGTTGTGGTATTGCCACGGACTATAGCAATGGCTAGGCCGACCATTTTTCGGATTTGATGCAACATAAAGCTTTGTCCCTTTACTTTCAACGTAACAAACTCAATGGATTGCGGACTTAGGAATGGTGCACTGCATGTAAAGGACATAATGAAACGCTTTGCCGATGGATCTAAAAAGTTCCTATGTATAAATTATGTAAATATTAATGCACAGTAACTACAAAGGATTGCTTTACTTTTTGCTGGTAAAGTTGTGAAAGTTTTTCGTGCCCTCATAGAGTTTTAGTGTCGCGCTGACCTTCTCCTGGCGCTCGATTGGTATGCGATAAGTTTCCTGATCATGCTGATCATCGAAAGCAGCAAATGCTATGGTTGGCAGTGTGTATGTGTAGGTGCGTGCGTTACACTGATCCTTGGCATTAAAACCTTTTGTCACGCGCTCCACACCAAAGAGACGAATCTGTTCTGGTAAATCTTTATTGAATGCCTCTAGGTCCAGTTCTTCGGCTGCAAGGAAATTGCTATTATAATAGGCCTAATCAGAATAGTTGAATTACTTACGCAACTTGACGGAGCACACCTGTCGAGCGGCCGAGACACCCTTATCGGTACGTGCGGCCCGCTGAAAGCAAGCTATTTGCACCTGTTCAAAGGAGTCTTCTGTTATCCATTTGTGCTTAAGCATTGCCTTGAAAAGCTCCTCCTCAATAGTCTGCATACCCGGATTTCGTTGCATGCCATAGTAGTTGGCACCGCAGTAGCTTAATAGTATAGCCCTCTTCTTTCGCTTAATGCGATCTGCGGGATCGAATGGAGCGCGCTTCTTTCCGTTTGCATCATCTTCCTCATCTTGTGCCTTCCAGTCCACCCACTTCTTTCGCTTCAGAGTTCGTTTCAAGCGATTAACTTCCTTTACAGATTCGTCCTCAGCTTCTTTGGCGACCTTTTTTGCCTCCCGTTCCTGTTCTAGCTTGTCGAGTGCTTCAGCCATAGCAATCGCGAAGGATTTTTTACGCGAATACAAATTATGCCGGCTTATTTCAGCTTGCAACAATTTTCTTAGGCTAACTGCAGGACAAAAGCAGATATTTGTTACTGTGTTTTATAAAATTGCAATACAAAATTCACCTGCCTTAGTGTAGCTGCCCAATATGTGGTTAAACATTTATTCAATTTGAAAAATTAAAATACCAACAAGCACAACCTCACACGTGTGCCGTTCTTGGTAATAAAACACAGCTGCTGCATGATAGTCGAAGTGCTACAGCCCTAACGTTATTATAAAACAAGCTGTTAAGCATATCAATTACGAAATATATCAAATAAAATATTATTAAAAATTAGCTCAGCTTATATGCATCTTTTAAATATACATTTTTCATAAATTATTTTAACATTAATCAATTTATGAACATTTGGAGGACTGAACGTGTATGGCTACTCGCAACTGGCAAAACTCTGGCAACGCTGCTCAATCCAAAATGGCGAGTAGAAAATTTTTGTACAGAAGAAGCGTCCAAGGAGAGTAAACGCCGTGACCGTGTGTTTTCCTAGCAATTAATTGCCAATAAAATAAATACAAATATTAATTTGAATATCAAATAAACAATTGCGCTAGCTAAGCGTCAAACGCAAATAAAACAACGCAGTGCTGTGCAATATAGTCGCGAAAGGAAAATAAAGCGTAATGTGAACATTTCAATGAAAGTTTTCGCCTCCGTGGGAATTCGTGCAAAAAGAGTAGAGAGAAAAAATTTGCAAACCGTTTGAAGTTGATAATACATTAAATTGTTAATACATTTATAAACAAATAAAAGTATTGTAAGATGATAATATTAATTAAAAGTAAACTGTGTAAAACATTAAACCTTTAAGTGTCATATGAAAGCGAAACTATTTTTTGTGCACAAGGTGACTTGTTTGTGTRTGTGTGCGAGCTCGTGAATGTATTGTTGTGTGTGTGTACGTGTGTGCAGACAGCCAATTTGGCATTGTTTTTGTACCGCTGCCACTTTGCTTGCGCCTGTCGGGAATGAATGAACAATGAAATGGAATAGAGATCCTAATATAACTAAAAATGTTCACCAAGGGCGCCAACTGCTGGTGAATACAAAATTCTCGCGCTAAAATTAGCTTACGCCCACGATAACAACCCAAAACCGAAACCGCATACCCACGTACACGATACAGCATTCACATAGATTGACATACTCTGAATAGAAGAAAAAATAAATAAAATATATAAACATACAATGGATTTGGAATTGGAAAATCTTAAGAACGACTTTCTGCCGCTGATCGCCGGCATCAAGCAGGAGCAATTGGATTCGGTGGCATCGGATGTGCTGCCGCCAAATCATTTGCCCAGTACTGCGGCGACAACATCCACATCCTCTTCCTCATCTTCATCGGTTGGTAATCCATGCGATAGTGCCGAGAAGCGGGTAAGTTGCTGAGCTGGTCTCACTTTTAATTTATCTCTATGTGTATGAGGTTAATAACTTGCAAGAGGTCTACACGTGTTGCGTTATGATAAGAAACCGTTGTTATCTTGCTCCGCTCTCAATCTATTGAATCATCAGAATGACGATTGACACAACTTATTATTGAAGCACATACATACATATATTTGTACGCAGCTAATCGTAAACAATACGGATATCCATTGTCTCGTGCAATTTTGTTCGTTATCTTTTCCCATGCTATAACAACAAACAAATGCTAAGGCACTCATACGCACAAACACACAGACAAAGACACACTTGCATATGTATGCAAAAGCACACAGACGTTGCTAAAATTGTGTTTCACTTTCGTGTTCAAGTCTCGTGCTGTTTGTTGTTCGGTTTCTGGTTTTGCTGGTTCGGTGTGAAAGGCAAAGCAAATATGTAACTACAAAGCGGAGAAGGCAACAACAACTGCTCACACTGCCATACACACACACACATACACACACTCACACATGAATACACACTCATTTACTCTCTCACACTTTTCGTACCGCAGAGTGCTCTCCATCAAGATCAGCTGCAGCGGACTGAGAATGACTCGCCTCTTTCAAGGCATGTGTATGTTTGTGTTGTGTTTGCTGTTTACTGTGTTTGCTGCGGTCTCGTCGCGCTTGAGCGCCATGAACGTCAGCTCCTCTATATGTATATTCAGATTCACAAATACAAGTTCCGAGTGGCGCAGACACTTTGAGTGCTATTGGAGTGGGAGATGAGCCATCGTAGCTCACACTTACACATGAGGCTACTAGTGGCGGCTGTAAATGACGTGCACTCATTCAATCCAACCGTCAATCATGCAACTGCCGACACACTATTGCATACATATATATATGTATATATACTTATATAAATGTGTGTTTTGTTTGCTTCTAAGGGTGCTGTACATGGCCTCGGTCGTCTGCTTTGGCCCCGTCATATGGTCAGCAATATTTAACCTGCGTCTTTCCTCTCATATTTGCTATCTCACTCACTTATTTAAAATGATATTTGTCAAAATATGTGCTCTCAACAATTTTAAGGAATTGTAATAGTTCAAAGTACTTCAAAATGGCCGGCAATTGCAAAATGGCGTCGACAGTACCTATCGACAGCTTCAGGAGAAACCTAATCATATTTATTCCTATACAAATACACTTTTATTCTACAACTGTCACTTGTTCATGCGGAATCTTGAATAGACAGTCGTTAACGACATATAAACTGGCAGCTGTCTGAGATCGTTGGAGCTTGAACGGAATGAAAGCCAAGAGAGGCAAATGATAATAATAATAAGTGGCCACTTTGGAATGAAATATTGAAATTAAATAAATGATAGATCAAATTCAAGTTGACGTAAAAATAAGAAATATTAACTTTCTTTGTTTCTAATACGAAATGCTAAGCGTTTGATACAAAAAGATTCCGATACATTGTCTGTTAAATGAACTTGAGTTAAAATATGAATGATTATGTAAGAGAGATGGTTTTAAAGTAAAGCATATTATTATCTCAATGAGTGTTTAAATATCGTGTAGGACTTCGGCTATTGCACTTCTCTAGGTCATCCTTGGGCTAGTTGGACGATTACCTTTAATGATATTTTCAGCTGTTACGTGTGTGTATGTGTCAGTGTGGTGTAGGCTGTAATTATTTGTTGAATCTGACACTATAATGAATGGGGAACTGCTGAGTTTCGGTGGAGAGCGGCCATTTTGTTTATTGGCTTTGCGTTGCTGCTTTTTCTTTTTTTTTTTTCTTCGACGAAACGTAAAATTAATTCCAAGAATTTGCTTTTAATGAGGTGCAATTAACTCTAATTTCACTAGAATATGCAAGCAAAGCAAATGGCGATGACCGATGAGAGAGGAGAACGGGGAATGAGCTGGAAGGCGCTTGAGCGCTACCCAAAAGTTTCTAATTAACTTTATTGCGTGGCAATCTTAACGAAGAGATCTTTGGAAAAGTCTCTTTTCACTTTCAGGCACCACTTGTGCCCTGCACCTGTCAAGCCCTGAGCTGTGTGTAATTTGTGTGAGTGTGTGTACGTACTCAACAGATACACATTTTAATTACTTTTCCGCCTCAACTGGCAGTGGGGCGTGGCTGGGACCTTAATCCAGCTATAGAGCGAGTATAATTGAAGCTGACTACGCGAACGGATCAGTTGAACTGTGAAGAGGGTGGCCCGCCTATATAGTACGAT